TCCTCTTTAGAAGTTAGTTTTATATCCTGAATGCATGTTTCTGATAACTTTGGAGGCTGTGACATAAGAATACAGGAAAAACTTTCAGGACTCAATGAGACTTGAATGTTCATGAATATCAAGCAAAACAAAAATTAACTTCATGGACTGAACTAACAAGGCTGAAGTAATATTTTTGATTTTTTATTTAAAACGTTGCTGATCCTGTAAAAGTTGTGAAAGTATTTCCAAGGGGAAATTCCTACAGTGGGAATGACTGTTCAAGCGACAGTTTATGCCAAATTATTCTCAAAGGAGGCTGCACCAATTTACATTCCCTCCACCAATACGTAAGGGCCTGTTTTCCTATATGGTCACCAGCTCTGACCATTAAATGTTAAGCTTTTGCTTATCCCATAGATGTAGATGGTATCTTCTTACAGTTTGAATTTGCATTTCTTAAAATGTGAGCATGATTCACCACCTTTCCAGTATTAATTGGCTGTTTTTAGTTTTCTATCCTCTGACAAAGCTAACTCTTAAGAACCAGGGAAGATATAATTTTGAGTCACCAGCATACACATACAGATGATAGTTAAAGTCATAAACGTGAATGAGATCCCCAAAACAGTGAGTATAATTAAGCAGCCCTGGGGCACTCCAATATCAGAAAGTCAGGGAAATGGGAGGAACCAGAAAAGAGATTATGAAGAGTAGTCAGTGAGCTAAGAAAAAAATGAAGAAAGTGTAGTGCCCCAAAAGCCACAGTAAAGAAAGTTTATCAGTTGGGCACAGGGGCTCCATCTGTAATTCCAACTTCTTGGGAGGCTGAGGCAAAAGAATTGCTTGGACCCGGGAGGCAGAGGTTACAGTGAGCCAGGATCTCACTACTGCACTCCAGTCTGAGCAACAGGCAACAGAGTAAGACTCCATTTCAAAAAGAAAAACAGAAAAGAGGAAAAAAAAAAGTTCATCTAGGAGAAAACAATGACTGGCTGGTTCAAATGCTACTGATAGGACAAGTAAGAAAAGGTCAGGGAATGGTGACTGGAGAGCAAGGTGAAGGTCATTGGTGGCCTGAAAAAAGTAGTTTTGGTGGAGTGGATTCAACCGGTGGGAGAACTTTGAAGATGCAAATCTGAGGAAAGAATTGCTGAAAGATAGTCCTCAGAAAGTAATGCTGAAAGATAGTCCTCAGAAAGTGTGGGATCCAGTGAAAAACAGAAAGGAGGGCTGGTGGTAGCTGGGTAGCTGTGGGAGCCTGAGATTCTCCTCTGGTTGCTTCTGTTTCATCCCTATCAACCTGGCAATGCCCTAATCTGAGAAAACTTCAAATCAGAAGACACATCTTGCTCTTGAAGCTGTTCAGTTGTAATGAACTTGCACAGGGGAACAGGGGAGGTGGGTGGGAAGGGCCATGGGAGACTTCCCCTAAGGCAGGAGAGGACAGGCTCAATGCTGGGCATCAGCATCTGCCAAACAATGGAGCCATTCTGCAGAGGGAAGAATGCAAAAGCATCACTACAGTTCCATTTCCATTTCTTCCTAGATCAAGTCTCACAATCATGAATCTTTTTTTTTTTTTTTTAAGAAATGGTTTCACTGTCGCCAAGGCTAAAGTGCAGAGGCAGGACCACAGCTCACTGTAGCCTCAATCTCCTGAGCTCAAGCTATTCTCCAACCTCAACCTCCCAAACAGATGGGACCACAGGTACACACCCCTACACCTAGCTAATTTTCAATTTTTTTTGTAAAGATGGGGTCTCATCATGTTGCCAAGGCTGGTCTCAAAATCCTGGCCTGAAGCAATCTGACTGCCACAGCCTCCCAAAGTGCTGAGATTACAGGCATGAGCCACTGAGAACGGTGACTTACAAATCTTCTACTCAGACCTTGCTTACTGCAAATTTGAAGACTTCCTCTAACTACTAATGTTAATCTATCAGAATGGCCAGTTTAAGTCCTGTGCTTAACAAACTGAGGTCCATCTGTAATGAGTCTGCACATCTCACCACCTTAAAACGCTACAAAAGACTCATTCATCTACAAATATTAATTGTAACATCCTGAAGTTTACAGACATTTAATCTAGAAGGAATTAAAGCTGTCAGGCAAGGTGTGGTGGCTCATGCGTGTAATCCCAGTACTTTGGGAGGCTGAGTCAGGGGGATTGTTTGAGCCTGTGAGTTTGAGACCAGCCTGGGAAATACAGGGAGACCTCCTGCCTAAAAAAAAACAAAAACAAACAAACAAAAAAACGTAAAGAAAAAAAAAATTAGCCAAACCGGTAAAAGGACCACTTGAGTCCAGGAGGCAGAGGCTGCAGGGAGCCAGGGCTGCACCACTACCTTCCAGCCTGGACAACAGAGCAAGACCCTGTCTTGAATAATATTATTTAAAAAATTAAATTGGCCAGGTGTGGCTGTTGACGCCTGTAATCTCAACACTTTGGGAGGCTGAGGTGGGCGGATCACCTGAGGTTAGGAGTCCGAAACCAGCCTAATCAACAAGGCAAAACCCCGTCTCTACTAAAAATATAAAATTAGCTAGTCATAGTGGTACATGCCTGTAGTCCCAGCTACTTCGGAGGCTGAGGCAGGAGAATCACCTGAACCCAGGAGGTGGAAGTTGCAGTGAGCTGAGATCACACCACTGCATTCCAGCCTGGGCAACAAGAGTGAAACTCTCTCTCAAAAACAGTTAATAATAAAAGAAAAAAGCTGTCAGGTTTTCCCGCATCTGGCCATTATTCAACTAGGAAAGTTGAACAGGTCATGGAATGCCATTAGATGATTTGTCAAAAAAGGAAATTTGTTGAACAACTCATCTCCTTAAAAGGGTTACAGAGACTGGTATGCCTCATCTAAGGTTAGATTTGTGCCTAAATTAACAAACTCTGTATGCAAGTCAGAAAAAAAAAAAAAAAAAAAAACTGCTCCAATCCTCTAAGTTTCCTGTGCCTATAGCAGTTTTATGCTAAACTGATTCTGACATTTCAAACAATTAAAAGTAACTCCAATTAATGCACTCATAATTTTGGCTGATTGCCAATCTAAGTGACCACGATTGATAGACTAGCCCTGTACATCAATGAGGTAACCACAGAAAGGAGTCACGGTTTTGAGGAATGAATGCATATGGGTTTATTCTCCACAAGAGCAATGAGATATTAACTGTGTGCTCCATAAAATATAGAAACTGTAGGCAGTCTAATACTGAGGAAGAAACTCCTATTAATATAAAGATAAACCAATTAATCTAACCTACCGAACTTCAGCGGCCTGTTAAGGAGTTCCACCAGTGAGGCTAGAGGGTGGCAATTTTTTTCTCTAGAGGGCTAAATAATGAATATTTTAGGGTTTCCAGCCACGTGGTCTCACTTGGAATTACTCAACTCTGCTTCTGTATGGCAAAAGCAGGCATAGACGACACAGAAACGAATGAGTGTGCCATGTTCTAACAAAACTATGGGCACTAAAATTTGAATTTCATGATTTTCAAATGTAACAAAATACTGTTTTGATTTTCAAAATCCATTTACATATGTAAAAATCACTCTTGGCTGGGTGCGGTGGCTCACGCCTGTAATCCCCGCACTTTGGGAAGCCGAGGCTGGTGGATCACGAGGTCAAGAGATTGAGACCATCCTGGCCTACACGGTGAAACCCCATCGCTACTAAACATACAAAAATTAGCTGGGCATGGTGGCGTGCGCCTGTAGTCCCAGCTACTTGGGAGGCTGAGGCAGGAGAATCGCTGGAACCCAGGAGGCAGAGATTACAGTGAGCCGAGATCCCGCCACTGCACTCCAGTCTGGCAACAGAGCGAGACTATCTCAAAAAAACAACAAAAAAAATCACTCTTGGTAAGGCATGGTGGCTTACACCTGTAATCCCAACACTTTAGGAGGCCAAAGCCGGTGGATCATGAGGTCAGGAGTTCGAGACCAGCCTGCCCAACCTGGTGAAACTGTCTCTACTAAAAATATAAAAATTAGGCGTAGTGGCGTGCGCCTGTAATCCCAGCTACTCAGGAGGCCTGAGGCAGGAGAACTGCTTGAACCTGGGAAGCGGAGGTTGCAGTGAGCTGAGATCGCGCCACAGCACTCCAGCTTGGGCGACAGAGCAAGACTCTGCCTCAAAAATAAAAATATATTTAAAAATGAAAAACCACTCTTAGTTCACCGTCTAAACAAAATCAGGTAATTGGCCCGTAGCCCTGTAGTACTTGACAATTTCTGGTCGCTCATGATGACCACATATCCAAATTACAGTAAAGTTACCCAACAGAGACAAAGATTAGAGATTAGCGTCACGATCCCCGCTCTGCCTGCACTAGGAGGCAGAGTTGCTGCAGCTCTTCCGCGAATTTAACAGGCGGTCGACGTGCCTCAGCCTCTTGCTATGTCTGAAAACAACCGAGTGAAAGGCACTCGAAGATCCAAGAACGCAAAGTTTCAGGAAAGCAACCAGGGACGGCAAAACATGGGGCAGCCACTACGCAGCCACTCCGTCTTCGAGCACAGCTGCCAAACACGGGTTGTAAAAGACCCAAGTCACATCCTTCGAAAACGTGCTGGCGCGGGCCCAGGAGACAAGGATTCCACCCCGCTAAGGCCGCAAACTGCGGGCCACGGGCGCGGAGCACAGCGCGCAGGCCGCGAGGCCGGAAGGCGCGGGCTCCACCTCCCGCCGACCCCGGCGCCTGTAAGCCGACAGTGACCTGAGCGTACTGGTAGGCGAGGACAGCCACCCTCGGGGCAGTGATGACGGTCCCTCGCGCCGGAGGGGGCTTAGTGACGAAAGAGATAAACTGGTGGCCACCGGGGAAGAGCACTGTGCTTCAGACCAACCCCAACCCCAACCACTACCACTGACTGACACCCAGCGGCGCGGATGCACGACTTCCCCGCTCCTGAGAGACCGGACCCGCGGAGTCTCGCGGGATCTCGCTGTTCTCAGCGGTGCAGTGAAAGCGACCGATCGAGGGGATTCCACCAGCGCCGGGAGAAGGTCTGGTGACCTCGCAGCTCCTCCCCCGCCTCCAGGGCACCCCGCCTTGCGCATGCGCGGGTGGCAACGGCGAGGCTACGGGTCGCGCGCGCGGCCGGCGCTATGGGGTTGAGCCGCGTACGGGCCGTTTTCTTTGACTTGGACAACACGCTCATCGACACTGCCGGAGCGAGCAGGAGAGGCATGCTGGAGGTAACGTCCTCTCCCGTGGCGCTCCTCTCGGCGGGGTCAGTGCGCCCCGCTTCGTCCTGCGCGCTCACGTTCCCTTGACCCCACTTTCACCCCGGGGCGGCTCTCGCTTGTTGAGACTCGGAGCGTCCGAGCGCGGGGGTGGCTGGAGGCGTGCGGGCCCTGCGGGGCTGCTTTCCCTGGCCTGGCTGCGGCTCGGCCACCCAGTCTCGGACCCCGGAGCGGCTGCTCGCAGGTGCCTCTGTGCTCGGGACGCGGATGGGCGCCGTGACGGCTGCCACGGTGGCGGAGACGCCCGTGGGCGCGGGAGGCGGCAGCAAAGCCGCGAGACCAGGTGCTGTGTTTGCCCAGGGTCCGGCTGTCGGTGTGGAGCTCGACGGAGGGTCGCGTCCCCCGCGCGGCCTTCAGGGGTGCTGGGAGGAGACTTGGTAGAGTTAGCTCCAGTGTTGACCCAAGGAGTGACGCGGCTGTCAGTGGCGAGCCTGGACTTAAGCCCTGCTGTAGAGCATTGTCCCCGCAGAACTCCCTCTGGCCTCCCCGGAGGGGTTGTGGTCCCCGTGGCTTTCCGAAGTGACACAGCAGAAGCCGCTACTGCGAGAGCATGCCCTTCCCTAGGCGCAGCTCACCGGCACCCGCTCTTCTACGCGGGTGCAGGCGGTTTCAGATCTTCCCATGCTCCAGCCCCAGTCCACCCGGCTTCCCTTTGTCTGCCTTCAGCTTTAAGGGGAAAGCAGAGGATTTATCAGATGTGGAAAAACCCGCATTCAAAAGCTAATTGGTCCAAACCTGAGCGCCCAGTCCTCTTCATGCTTCAGTTAGTTTTTGTGTCCCTGGATCTTCCAGTGCCTCATCCGTTTTCTTTTTAGGTGCATTCCACTCCCGCCTCGTATTCACGTTTGCCATAGTTGTTGTTTTTTGTTTTTGTTTTTGTTTTTTATGTAAAAAGGACGCCTCCTTTGGGCTATTCTTCCTGCTATAGATGTTACCTGTCTCTCTTGACAGCCATGTTTTCCTGGAGAAATCTATACCCGTTATCTCCTTGTCTCTAGCTTCTATTTATTACTAAATCCATCGTAGTGTCACTTCATCTTCACCACTACACTGAAATAGACTTGCTGGGTCACTAGGCAGTACCAAATTGCCAGAATCCGTGAACGTTTTTAAGTCTGTCTTCATGACCTTACTGAGGCATTCCACATTATATTACTGTATAACGTTGGCCTCCGCCTCAGCGATGCCAGCGTGTGCCATATTGCCTCTAGTATCTCTTGCTGTGGACATTGCATATTTACCTGTGTGTTATTAGCAAGCTACGCCGTATGCATTTCAATTAAATTATTGCTTTAGGCCAATTCTTGCTATAGGCCAACAGGTTGGGCTTTAAAATCAGACATTTGAATATGAATCACAGCTCTCTCAAAACCTAGCTGAATGTGCCTTAACAAGTTAACCACTCGGAGTCTTATATCTTCATAAAATGTGAATTATATTAGTCCTCAATAACCCTATAATGCTTGGGAAGCCCATGGGTGCAGTGTCCACTCAGCGAATTATAGCACCTTTCACCCTCGTTCCTCAGCCTGTCCACCACTGCACATTCCCCATGCCATGTCTCAGTTACAGCTCATTTCTCACCTAGACTGTTGTTGTGGGCTTGCCTTCAGGTTTACCACATCCAGTGTGTCCTCCACATTCTTGCCACAGCAACATTTTTAAAACAAAGATTAAATCGTACATTTCCCTGGTCTTTACACTCTCACTTATACTAGTGGTGTATTTTGTTCAGATATTTGTTTCTTTTCTGTTTTTTTATTTGAGACAAAGTCTGGGTCTGTTGCCCAGGCTGGAGTGCAGTGGAGCAATCTCGGCTCACTGCAACCTCTGCCTCCTGGGTTTAAGCAATTCTCCTGCCTCAGTCTCTCGAGTAGCTGATACTACAGGCACCCGCCACTATGCCTGGCTCATTTTTGTATTTTTAGTAGAGATGGTGTTTCACTATGTTGGCCAGGCTGGTCTTGAACTCCTGACCTTGTGATCTGCCCGCCTTAGCCTCCCAAAGTGTTGGGATTACAGATGTGAACCGCCTCACCCGGCCTTGTTCAGATATTTCTTAATGCACCTGTCAAAGGATATTACAATTAATTTTGCAACTCAGGTGGCTACAACTAAATAGTGAGCTTCTTGGGAGGGAACAAGCTGTCTTATTTATCCTCACTGGACAAATGGCAAATGTTGCATAAATGCTGGATGGATGGATACAAATTTTTACTTTGAGACTTGGTTCTGTTACTGCCTCCTTTATAATTAGTCTGTAATAATAAATGAGCAGGAAAAGAAGTGAGCCTAATAAATTAGCAGAATCGAACTGTGTGCTCTTGGTTATACAAGGAATACTTTATCATGTAAGGAAACAATAGCATTCATGGATGTTGAGCTATTCAAAAGTAACATGCCAGCTTTCATAAATCATTGTAAATAATATATGAATGGAGGAAGAGGGAAAGGTCCAGCCATTTATTGCCTTGGGTTGGGGAGAAGGGGTCATATACTGACTGTATGTATCAACCTCAACTTTTTCTAATCACCTAGGGAAGTTATTTTTTTTCCTCCCTCTTTAGACTTGTTTTTCATGGTTAAGTACCCAAGAGGAACTTTTCTACAGAAACTTGACAAAGCAGAAGAGATTTCTGCATTTGTGAATTTACTTCTTAGTGGGTGTGGCAAGGAACGTAATAAGTATTTATAGTTGTGGTAGAAAAAGTGGAGAGGGTAACAAATCAACTTTTTTTTTTTTTCTGAGACGGAGTCTAGCTCTGTTGCCGATGCTGGAGTGCAGTGGCACGATCTCAGCTCATTGCAACCTTCACCTCCTGGGTTAAAGTGATTCTCCTGTCTCAGCCTGCTCAGTAGCTGGGATTACAGGCTCCTGCCATCACGCCCAGCCAATTTTTGTATTTTTGGTAGTGATGGGGTTTCACTGTGTTGGCCAGGCTGGTCTCAAACTCCTGACCTCAAGTGATCCTCCTGCCTTGGCCTCCCAAAGTGCTGGGATTACGAGCGTGAGCCCCCACACCTGGCACAAATCAACATTTTAAACAGACTGGTCAGATTTGGCCTCATCGAGTAAGTGATGTTGGAGCACAGACTTGAAATAAAAATAACAGAAGGGCTGCTTGAATTGCTAGGCTGTGTGCAGGCAGTCCTCACTTTGTGATTGTGTTTTTAAATTATTAAGTTTTATTTGGAATTCATCCCCTTCTGTTGTGCCGGATTCCTATTGATTTCAGTAGGGATAGCACCATGTTCAAGAGGCTAAAGAAGAGACCTGGAGCCAGCAAATGAGAACGGGTTTTTGAGGGAACTTATATACTAGACGTCCGATGTGGGTGGCTGGACAGAACTGCAGCCACTTGTAGAAGGAATGCAGTTTATATAGCATTTTCACTTAACACCCTAACCCAGGCGTCCCGTCCCCAAACTATGGCCCGCGGGCCGCATGCGGCCCCCGAGGCCATTTATCCGGCCCCCCCGCTGCGCTTCAGGAAGGGGCACCTCTTTCATTGGTGGTCAGTGAGAGGAGCACAGTATGTGGCAGCTCTCCAACGGTCTGAGGTACAGTGAACTGGCCCCCTGTGTAAAAAGTCTGGGGATGCCTGCCCTAACCGCAGCAACCTCCTCCTGGCTACTTTCCTTTAATGGAAAACAAAGGGCCTCAGTCTCCTCTGTAGCTTGAGTTCTGAAGGATGGGATGTGCCAGGGTTCAGATCTTCCTCGTAGATAAAGAATGAATCTCTGGATTGGTCACTCTTGGACTCATTATCTCAGAACCCAGATACACATTCCTCATAGACCACAGGGTCATTCTCAGGGTGTGCCTAAGTTAATGCTGTCAGGTGCACATGCCATATATTTCACATCCAAACGATTAGTATTCAGAATACACTTTTCTTAAAGTGTTGTAAAGTATTAGATGGTTCCCACACGAAGCCCTCGAAAAGTCTTTTAAAATCAGTTAGCCAAACTAAAGTATTGATGATATTAACTTTAGTTCTGCGTCTAGGAAGCAGACAGTAGAAGAATAGAGTTTCCTTTTTGTGTATGATCAGAGAGAGCCTTAAGATAGAATTTTGAAGTGGCTGAAGTTTGAGTTTATTAATTAATCTACTGATAGCCCCTCTGTCAGAGCAGGACCCCTTTCTTCAGGCCAGCGAGCACCTGGTGGGCTCTTTATACCAAAATCATTTTCAGGCTTGCCTTACCAATCACACACTTGTAGTCCTAGCTACTCAGGGGGCTGAAGGGAGATCAACCTAGGAGTTTGAGGCCACAGTGAACTATTGTCATTCCTCTACTGCACTCTAGGCTGCGTCTGAGTGACAGTGAGACCCTGTTTCCAGGAAAAAAAAAAAAAAAGTATCATCATGCCTCCAAGTTAGAGAGCTGTAATAAGTGAATGCTGATAACCTTTTTTCCTAAAAATGTTAATATTGTTAAAATGCTACTTATTGTCCAAAACCAATCTGTAATTAGTTGCTGTGTGACAATCTATAATTAGTTGCTGTGTGACAAAATGGGGAAGTTAATTGAAGGGATAGAATAGGAAGAGATTTTGAAACTCGGGAATGGCATACCATGCCTTTACAAACATCTCCCTTTTAAGGTGAGCAAATTCTGCTTTTTCAGAGCCTCAGAATGTATTTAATGAAGCCCCACTTGCAGTAACAGGAAATTGGGTCTGTATTGGGAGCTCTGTGTTTACTGGTATGAGCCAGCCCCTATTTGAGTTCAAGCTTTGTGGAGCCCTAGAGGCATGTGTCCTTTCACAGCTGTAGGGTTGCTGAAATTTTAGAGCTCCTGTCAGTCATAGTTTACGTGTCATTCAATTGATATTGCCAGCAAAGATGGTGAGATAAACATGGAGATTGAAAAAGCTTTATTTGTTAATAGAACTTTATAAAGCAAAAATTTGCGATGTTTTGCCTCTACCTAAAATTCCTAGGGCTAGTATATTTTTCTTGCGCAGATAAGATTTTTCTTAATGATTATATTTTCTTTTCTTTTTTCTTTTTTTAAATATTTCTTTTTCTGATATGGATAAGTTTTCTGATACATTTTCCAATTAGCACAAATACCTCAAAAAATACTTTCCTTTCAGCCAGGCACAGTGGCTTACACCTGTAATCCCAGCACTTTGGAAGACCAAGGCAGGAGCATTGCTTGAGGCCAGGAGTTAAAGACAATCCTGGGCAATACAGCAAGACCCCTGTCTCTAACAACAACAAAAAAATTATTAGCTAGGTATGGTGGTGTGCGCTTGTAGTCCTAGCTACTCAGGGGGCTGAAGGGAGATGAACCTAGGAGTTTGAGGCCGCAGTGAACTATCGTCATTCCCCTACTGGACTGTAGGCTGCATCTGAGTGACAGTGAGACCCTGTTTCCAAAAAAAAAAAAAAAAAAAAAAAATTCTTTTTCCTGTTGTGATTATTTAACTCTGAGGGAAGAAAAACATGTGTGTGTCTTTCTCAATAGGTGAGTTTCTGGTGTGAGTAGCATACTGCTTATTCCCTAGTTCTGTTACAACAGATATATTTTAGCCCTAGCTGGGTACATTTCAAAGATGCGGCATGGTTGACTTTCCTCAGATGCTCCCTGAACACAGGGACTTCCAGTGCAGGCAGTTCGTAAGGTGATCCTAAGACACGCGTTAAAGGGTCAAGTGCATACAGTTCATGAGGTGATCCTGGGACACACATTAAGGGGTCGGGGAGACAGGAAGGGGAAGGAGTTCAGTACAGGTTACAGCAGCTTAATGAGCAGGTTACTGCTGTGAGCAGCTGAAGGAGCTGTTCACAGAACAGCTCTAGGAGACAGTACACAGAACAGGGTTCAGTTGTGCTCCCCAAGGGGCAAGGAAGCTCTGATATTTATTTGCCAATTTCTTCCCAACATTGGTTGAGGGCTGCTCCCAGGGAAACACTCTTTAGCCCCATCCTGTGTGTATAGATGCCCTTGTGTGTGTCCAAATAAAGCCCACAATTCGAGAGGCCCATACTTGGAGTGGGAAGCCATTGACCAGTGTATATAGTGTGTGCCAAGGGGATTTCTTCAGCACCTGCTACAGCATGGGATTCAAGACTCTACATAAACGCAAACAGGCTCCCCAGCTCCATCTCTTGGCAGCCTCCCTCACATGCCTCCATTTGGGCTCAACTCAGCTTCTTGCTTTTCCCACAAAATTTTAAACTTTTGGCCTTTATTCATGGTGTTCCTTTGTCTGGAATGATTTTCTTCTCTTCCCATACCCACTTTTTCTGCTTGTTTGTTCCTTGGTCTCGATGTGACTTTCTCTGCAGCTACCCTGTGGAATGACTTCCATATTCTTCCCACAGCTTGTTTAAACTACTCTCACGGCACCCCCACCATGCCCCATCATTTGTAGGGGTTGTATATTATATTCCCTACAAGGTAATGCCCCAAGGACAAGGGCCAGTCTCCAGAGCCTAAGGCACAGTGCAAAGGCAAGCATGTGGCTTTGGAAGTACGCAGGTGTGTGGATGCAAGTTAGATGGGCAAGTTATTAAGTTCTACACTTCCCTGCCTCATCTTGAACAGGGAGCTGTCTTGCAGGATTGTAGAAAAGATTAGAAATAATGTGCTAAATATATGGCACAATGCTTGCCACGTTAGGGCTTTTAGGAAAAGTTAGAAGACAGGCCAAATGGATTAGTATTATAAAAGCACACATAAAGAGCCTTGGGAACATGAGAGAGGGAGTGCTTAACTCAAAGTACAGAACTGGAGCCAGGCGCAGTGGCTCATGCCTGTAATCCCAGCACTTTGGGAGACCAAGGTAGGACGATCACTTGAGGTCAAGAATTCTAGTCAGCCTGGCCAACATGGTGAAACCCACCTCTACTAAAAATACAAAAATTAGCCAGGCATGGTGGCAGGCACCTGTAGTTCCAGTTATTCAGGAGGCTGAGGCAGGAGAATCACTTGAACCCAGGAGACAGAGGTTGCAGTGAGCTGAGATGGCACCATTGCATTCCAGCCTGGGTGATAGAGCGAAACTCAAGTACAGAGTAGGGCACACACAGTGGCTCTCATGCCTGTAATCCCAGCACTTTGGAGGCCGAGGCAGACAGATCACTTGAGGTCAGGAGTTCGAGACCACCCTGGCCAAGATGATGAAACCCTGTCTCTAGTACAAATACAAAAATTAACCAGGCGTGGTGGCAGGTGCCTCTAATCCTAGCTACTCCAGAGGCTGAGGGAGGAGAATCCCTTGAGCCTGAGAGGTGGAGGTTGCAGTGAGCCAAGATGGTACCACTGCACTCCAGCCTAAACTACAGAATGAGACTGTCTAAAAAAAATTAAAGTACAGAATTGGATCCCATTCTAGATATTATTCCATTTAGGTCTTCAAAATGTGAAGTGGCTGTAGATGAGAAAAGAGTATATGAACTAAATGTTATTTTTTCTAAGAATAGTCTAACTAGTGGTTGTCAGAAATTTTAAATGTTTTACCAAAAATAAGTACAAAGGTTTTTTGTTTTTTTGAGATGGGGTCTTGCTATGTTGCCCAGGCTGTCCTGAACCCCCTAAGCTCAAGCAATCCTGCCACTTCAGCCTTCCAAAGTGCGGGGATTTCAGGCATGAGCCACCATGCCCAGCCCAAGAAGCACAAGTTTTATTTTCATGTCTTTGTGACCAGAGTGGAAGATGTTGAACTCTAAACTGCCAAACAAAGGATTGTTATTAGCTATATATGAAGAAATTGGTTTTTTAAAATAAGTGAGTTCTAGAGAGGTTGGGAGAGCTTTCACCTTGTCTCTAAAAATAAGGCCGATTCCCACCAGAAATGGTGTGGTTAATACCTGCTTTAAAGCAGAGGAGTGGGCCAGGCGCAGTGGCTCACGCCTGTAATCCTAGCACTTTAGGAGGCCGAGGCAGGTGGATCATGAGGTCAGGAGTTCGAGACCAGCCTGGCCAATATGGTGAAACCCCGTCTCTATTAAAAGTCCAAAAAATTAGCTGGGCATAGTGGTGTGCACCTGTAGTCCCAGCTGCTCAGAAGGCTGAGGCAGGAGAATTGCTTGAACCCAGGAGGCAGAGGTTGCAGTGAGCCGAGATCATGCCACTGAACTCCAGCCTGGGTGACAGAGCAAGACTCCATCTCAAAAAAAAAAAAAAAAAAAAGCAAAAAGCAGAGGAGTGGAGTTGTAATCTCTCAGCCACTTGTAGGATCACAGCTTCCTAGGGCATGACTATTAAAGACATGCAGTGTGTTAATGGAGTTGTTTTCCATTATTTAGGTGATAAAGCTCTTACAATCAAAATACCATTATAAAGAAGAGGCTGAAGTCATCTGTGATAAAGTTCAAGTTAAACTCAGCAAGGAGTGTTTTCATCCTTATAATACATGCATTACTGATCTAAGGACTTCTCATTGGGAAGAAGCGATCCAGGAAACAAAAGGTGGTACAGCCAATAGAAAATTGGCTGAAGAATGTTACTTACTTTGGAAATCTACCCGTTTACAGCATATGACACTAGCAGAAGATGTCAAAGCCATGCTCACTGAACTTCGAAAGGAGGTCCGCCTACTTCTATTAACAAATGGGGACAAACAGACCCAGAGGGAGAAGATTGAGGCTTGTGCCTGTCAGTCCTATTTTGACGCTGTTGTTGTAGGTGGAGAGCAGAGAGAGGAGAAGCCAGCACCGTCCATATTTTATTACTGCTGCAATCTTCTCGGAGTACAGCCTGGGGACTGTGTGATGGTCGGTGACACATTAGAAACTGACATCCAAGGAGGCCTCAATGCAGGATTGAAAGCAACAGTCTGGATCAATAAAAATGGAGTAGTGCCACTGAAGTCCTCCCCAGTTCCGCATTACATCGTTTCTTCTGTGCTAGAATTACCTGCTCTCTTACAAAGTATAGACTGCAAAGTCAGTATGTCCACTTAAAGCACATAAAAGGGCATGATTATGAATGTTAGAGTCAATTTGCAGAGTATGAACTAAGAAAAGTTAGGGTACTCCACTTATAATAATCTAGCTCTAAGAATAATTTTACTTATGATTTAATGGCCAATATTTTGAAGTTTTATTAATTGTAACAACCAACCATTGACTGATACTTATATCTGAAAATTCAGATTGCATTAATACAAGTCAGTGGTATAGCCTAGAAAATTTGAGAAAATATATGTTAGTCTGTAACTGGAGCTTTTTAAAATTATGTTATTAATCTTTTAGTATCTCAGCTCCATAATGCCAGGCAGGATTGCTTTACACATGGATGCACAAATGTAAGGTTTATCTTCTGGCTTAAAAATATTTTTTGAAAACAGATTTTTCTAAAATACACAGATTTATCAAAACAGCTGAATCTGGTTAATATGAAATAAGTACTAAGTCACATGCAAATCAAGGTATTTTATAGTGAAATTATTTAGCATATTTTGAAAACAAACAGTTATGAAAACATAAGCAGTATTTTTTGCCTACTTTGGATGTATACTTTCTATTATGAATCTGATTTTTCTTAAGACTTTTTTTTTTTTTTGGAGGGTGGGGGGCAGTTTTTCTGTGGTGTGTGACAGAACAGTTAGAAAAAGCTGTTAAAATCAACACGTGGTGCTCCTTTACCATGACATTTTCTCACCTGTGCACAGCGAGCTGGTAGCTTCCTTATAGTTTTCACCTCTCAAGGAAATGGTTTCACTGTCTTTTCCTGGACACACAGTGGGGTTAAGGGAGCTGGACTCTTGCTAGAGATAATTGCAAGCCACATGGCTCTAAAAGTCATTTTTCTTCTGTGGATCCATAAGAGGAACATTTTCTCAATGTAGCCTAACCATGCAGCCCCCGATCTCTTCCTTTTTTTTTTTTTTTTACTTGAAATTGGGATCTCTGTCGCCCAGGCCGGAATGCAGTTGGCACCATCTCAGTTCACTGCAACCTCTGCCTCCTGAGCTCAAGTGATCCTCCCACCTCCTTGTGCCTCCCAAGTAGCTGGGACTGCAGGCACATACCACCACACCTGGCTAATGTTTGTTTGTTTGTTTTTTGTAGAAAAAACATGTTGACCAGGCTGATCTGGAATTCCTGGACCCAAGTGATCCGCCCACCTCAGCCTCTCAAAGTGCTGGGATTACAGGCATGAACCACTGTGCTGGCTTCATCCGATAGAAAATTAGATTTTGCTATGAGCCATTTCCAGAGTGCCAATATAATACTCGTGTGACTCTTCTTAGAGTTACCATCTGCCTTAAATCTCCTCTGTTTTTCACATTCTTGGAAATATATCATTGTTTTGCACATTTCTTTATCTAATTCAGGGTTTACTAGGAGCTTAATAATTAATGGCTACATAGCAAGGCATCATCTTGGCACCAGAGAATTTTCTCTAGACTATTAGGCTAGATAGTCTCATGATTACACTAACCAAACCTGGAATAAAGTGGTTGATAAAGAATAAAGGGCTTATTAAAGTGGTTAATAAGTATGATTTGGTTTGTGTTTTCTTAGGTTTTTCTTCCAACTGTTTAAGAAACTACTAATGTAAAATAGTAGGCTGTGTTTCAGGATATGTATAGCTATGTCTCCAAGACTAATACTCAGAGAATCAAATTGTAGATTTGTACCTATCTGTGAGCCTATTTCTTTAGCCGGTTTTCTGTCTGCTGCCAAGAAACAGGATTCTCTGCCTCATGCAAATGCCCTTTTCTGTTTACTTCTTGTTCTTGATTTTTAAAAATGTGATTGTGTCCTTGACTGTCCCAAGATGCTGTTGCTATAACAGTGAACATTTATGAATAGAGGATGTTTGTAGTTCCACGTGCAGTTCCCATATGATCTTGATCATATTTTAACTATTTAAAAATTAACTTGGAGGATTTTGGCAGAATAGACATGTGCATGCTTGCTCTGATAGATTGGTAGGTGTGTGCTGCTGAGGGCTTGTCTTTAGCTGTCCCACAGGATGGATGTAGGCAGTGTCACATTCATTATGCTGTGGGTAAAGGTTCATCACTCCTACAATGGGGATAGCAAATCTCAACAAGATAGCTTCTAGGATGTTAAGTGAGGAATTCTCCAGTAGAAACAATGTAGGAGGAAAAAACTGAATAATTAAATTTCCTTGTCTTCACAGTTTGTATTCTGCAGTACTCTGTAGAATAATATATACAGTAATATATTACATTCCATTTGCACCCTTCCTTAGGGAAGAACTTTGTGGCTATCTACCTTCTGAGTGGAATGTTACAGAAAATATTTTAAAATACTGGAATAAACCTATGATTTTGTTAATAATTTTAGAAAATATTCCTTAAAATTAAAAAATGATATAACAGTGATGTTTTGTCATCTTTATTTTGTTCAAAGTTTCCCTATAGTGGTCTTTTCACACAAAGCCAGAGGCCCTCCCTAACAATTTACAGTGGCGGTCCTAGAGCAGACACGAGTGGACACTGCACCTGGAATACCAGCACCAGGTGGGGCTGTTTGGTTCCATGTGCACCTCCACATACAAGGGCACAAACATCTCAGATCTGGGATTGCCCAGGACCCAGTGGATGCTCAATATTGTAGGAAAGCAGGTCTCTAGCAAAGTACTTGGTTTATTGCTTTCAAATTTATTTGCAACCTTCAATAAGAAACATTTTCTATCATAACCTCTTTAACACATAGTGAACATATTAATGTGTGTATTAAATCTAGTTTTACGTGTTTAAGTTTTATAAAATATCCTTGTTATGTATGATGATCAGATATTTTTCATTCCATTCTTGTTTGAATTAGGGAATATATTCATTGTTGAACATGTACTGTTTGCAGTACACAAGTCAAAAAAAATAAAAGGGTGAATGGTGAAAAGTCATTCTCCTCATCTCTTTCCTAGGGGCCCACAACCTACGTGCCCTAAAGGCCACTACTGTTTGGATTGTGTTTTATTTTTAAAAATGGAAACAAGGGTCTCACTATGTTGCCCAAGCTGGTCTCAAACTCCTGAGTTCAAGCAGTCCACCTGCCTTGGCCTCCGAAAGTGCTAGGGTTACAGGTGTGAGCCATGGCACCCAGCCAAGGCCACTGCTATTACCAGCTTCATGTGCATCTGCATATAGAAATGTATAGGACTATATAGAACCTGGAATTCAGGCAGATTTTTAATTTCTGTATTTCAGTTTAGGAAACAATGCTCTTAGATAATCAAAGAGTCATGTAGCTTGTGTTTAAGCCATTTGTGTAAAGAACATAATACCTTCATAGTCTCAGCCATGTGGGAGATCTCTGTGGTTCCATTGAGTTTTGCATACCACCACCCTGGTGATTCCCTTTGCCTCTTATGTTAAATTTCCTATTTTCTGTGTTCTGTGTATTCCTTTTTTGACTTATTCCCTCTTTTTGGTGGCATGCATCCTTGAGTAGGTTCCCTGTGTAAGAGATAAAATTGAGGTCTGAAATGTCTGAAAATGGCTTTATTCTCTTTTCCCATCATTGATAGTTTTAACAGCATGTGTTTAGATAACATTTTTTTTTTTTTTTTTTTAATTTTCAAGGCATTAGTCTGTGGTCTAGCAGACATTTGTATGTGACCACTTTCTTTCTTGTTAACTCTTAGAACCTTATTTTCCTCTGGCCCATAATCATGTGCCTTGGAGAGGGTGTTTCCATCCTCTGTGCTTGGTATACTGAACCCTTTTCATCAAAATCATATTTTCTAAATCCTGGGGAATGTAATGACTTAATTGATAATTGCCTCTTTTTTTTTTTTTTTTTTTTTTTTCTGATTTCTCTTTCTGATTTCTGGTTTTTTTGCTAGTTTCTCTAATCCCTATCATTAAGATGTTAGAACTCCTTTACTGACCTTCCACTTTATCTCTTCACTCCTATTTTTCCATCTATGTTACTCTCTTCGCCTTTACCTTCCAATCCTTCTATGATATTTTTCCTCCACCATCATACCTTTTAATTTCCAAGACCTTGATTTTTTCTTTTTTTTTTTTGAGACAGGGTCTTCATCACCCACAGGGGAGTGCAGTGGCACAGTCATGGCTCACTGCAGCCTTGAATTATTGGGCTCAAGCAATCCTCCTCCCTCAGCCTCCAGAGTAGCTGAGACTACAGGCACATGCCATGATACCCAGCTAATTTTTTTGTATTTTTTGTAGAGACAGGGTTTCACCATGTTGCCCAGGCTGGTCTCGAACTCCTGGCTTCAAGCAATTCACTTACCTGGGCCTCCCAAAAGTGCTAAAATTGCAGGCATGAGCCACCATGCCCGGCCCCAGCACATTTTTTAATCACTTCAGGTCAGGAGTTCAAGACCAGCCTGGCCAACACAGTAAAACCCCGTCTACTAAAAATACAAAAGTTAGCTGGGCATGGTGCTGTGCGCCTGCAAGTCCCAGCTATTCTGGAGGCTAGCACAGAAGAATCACTTGAACCCAGGAGGCGGAGGTTGCAGTGAGCCAAGATCACACCATTGCACTCCAGTCTGGGTGACAGTGAGACTCCATCTCAAAAAAAAGTCTTTATTTTTACTTAAATAAAAAGAATATATATATATATTATATATATATATATATAAAATTAGATGTAATATAACTAAAGAAAATATATAATTAGATGTCTATAATTATAATTATATAATTAGATATCTATATAGGTATAGATAATTAGATGCCACGAAGTAGGTGGCAAGGTCTTAAACGCATGTTGTGAGGCTCAAGGACCTCCCAAGAGCTTTTTAAAAACATTTCTAAATAGCATTCGGGGATTTTGGTTTTGTTTTGTTTTTGAGTGGAGTATCATCTCTGAAAAACATATTAAGTTTTAAAAGAATCCACAGCATGTACCATTCTAAGTTCCTCTAATCTGTTTATTCGGGTCTGTTTGTTCATACTAGAGGTTTTTCTCAAGTGCCTATTAACCCTTGATTATTTATGATAAAGAGAAGAGAGTTGGAAATGCTGATTGGGAGTTCCACACAAGTGGATGGGCCTTCTCAAATTAGAGGTTCTTTTACTGTGGGGTATCTGGATGAGCTGTTAGTTGAGGGATTCCTGAGGTCAGTGTGTTAAAGTATTTTCTCTTGGTTGGTCTGCTTTCCTAGAGAAGAATATTCCAAACTGGAGAGTGGAGGCCTGATGTCAGCATTGGTAGCTGAGTGGAAAGGGTGTGTGTGCATATAGTCACCTACTCTGTTTCTAGTTGTACCTGAGTCCAGCTATGCCTGATATTTCCCAGGTTAGAGAGCCCTCTGTCTTACCCTCTCCAGGGAAGCATCCCAATGTCTGCTGAGAGAGAACAGGTTCGAGTGGGGACAGGGATCTAGGGGTTCATTTGTACCTTGAGTACCTTTTACCCCAGCTCCTTAATTCAGCTGTGCCTTCCCTCTCCCTCAGGACCACAGCATCTGGGGATGTCAGTGCCCAAGTCTTTGGAGGAGTCTCCTGCGCACCTCATTATTTCTTACCCTTCCCCACTGCTGGTCTGTACTCGCTTTCTTTTGTCTATTAGATCCTTTGCCACTTGTCCACATGCTTTGCAGCTTCCAAAGTTGTGGTTGATAGCTGTCTTCCTGGTCCGTGTGTGTGTGTTTGCATGAGCGTGCACGCATCTACATTTGAATTCCTTTGCTGTAGTTTTAGCTGAGTTGTTGTTTTATGCAGCATTGGAAACAGCTCACTACAGCCTCAACCACCTGGATTCAAGCAATCATCCTGCCTCAGGCTTCTGTGTAGCTGGGACCACAGGCACATGTCACCATGCCTGGCTAATTTTTTAGGGGTACAAGCTATCAGATGTGTATTTCCATCCACCATCTTGATATGGAAGTTCTTTTTCTACTTTGTGTTCAATGTTTGTCAAGACCCACAAAACTGACCCCATACCCAATAGTGGCTACTACTCACAGGTCAGAAATGCTCATTTGACGTGGAGATTTACAGCATGCCTGCAGCTTTTTTTCTTCTTTTTAATTTAATTGTTTTGAATTATCTAGTTTCCTTTTTCTCTATGTCTTTGTATGTGACACTCTTTGACGTAAAACTCTTATTGCGATGGGGGTCTCCTTCTTGTCCTGTGTTTGTGAATTTTCTCCATTGCTTGGATATAGATGTTTATTGACATGCTTGCACAGCCTGACTGGGTCTTTGGCCAACATCAGCACTTTTATTTCCAAATCACTTCTAAGAGAGTGTAACTGTCTTAAGACAGTTACAAAATCTTAAGACAGTTACACACTCTTATTTTTTAATTTTTTTGAGATGGAGTCTTGCTCTGTCTCCAGGCTGGAGTGCAGTGGCACAATCTTGGCTCACTGCAACCTCTGCCTCCTGGGTTCAAGCGATTCTTCCGCCTCAGCCTCCCGAGTAGCTGGGACCACAGGCACATGCCACCACGCCCAGCTAATTTTTTTTGTATTTTTAATAGAGATAGGGTTTCCACCTCGGCCTCCCAAAGTGCTGGGATTACAGGCGTGAGCCACCACACTCAGCCTACTCTCTTAGATTTCTTTAAAATTAAAATCCTTCTTACTGGTATACTAGATTTACACTTTTTTTTTTTTTTTTTTTGAGACGGAGTTTCGGAGTTTTGCTCTCGTTACCCAGGCTGGAGTGCAATGGCGCGATCTCGGCTCACCGCAACCTCCTCCTCCTGGGTTCAGGCAATTCTCCTGCCTCAGCCTCCTGAGTAGCTGGGATTACAGGCACGCGCCACCATGCCCAGCTAATTTTTTGTATTTTTAGTAGAGACGAGGTTTCACCATGTTGACCAGGATGGTCTCGATCTCTTGACCTCGTGATCCACCCGCCTCGGCCTCCCAAAGTGCTGGGATTACAGGCGTGAGCCACCACACCCAGCCTACTCTCTTAGATTTCTTTAAAATTAAAATCCTTCTTACTGGTATACTAGATTTACACTTTTTTTTTTTTTTTGAGACGGAGTTTCGGAGTTTTGCTCTCGTTACCCAGGCTGGAGTGCAATGGCGCGATCTCGGCTCACCGCAACCTCCGCCTCCTGGGTTCAGGCAATTCTCCTGCCTCAGCCTCCTGAGTAGCTGGGATTACAGGCACGCGCCACCATGCCCAGCTAATTTTTTGTATTTTTAGTAGAGACGAGGTTTCACCATGTTGACCAGGATGGTCTTGATCTCTTGACATCGTGATCCACCCGCCTCGGCCTCCCAAAGTGCTGGGATTACAGGCATGAGCCACCACGCCCGGCTACACTTTGTTTTTTTTTCTTAGGTTTATACTTTTACAAAATTAACTTACTCCTAGCAATAGGACTAAAATTTAGTCAGATAAAACCATAAATGTTTTAAACCACTCTTTATTCATGTATTACATATTTGATAATACAGTTACTTCCACTGGATTTCTTAGAAGATATCATTGCGATTCTTTCTGGGAAATCAGCCTGACCTTCAGAAAAAATCTTCAGGCTGGGCACAGTGGCTCATGCCTGTGATCTCAGCACTTTGGGCAGCCAAGGTGGGAATATTGCTTGAGCCCAGGAGTTCAAGAACAGCCTAGGCAACAAAGAGAGACACTGTGTCTACACAAAATAAAAAATTAGCCAGACATGGTGACATGTGCCTGTGGTCCCAGCTACACAGGAGCCTGAGGCAAGAAGATTGCTTGAATACAGGTGGTTGAGGCCGTAGTGAGCTGTTTCCACTGCTGCATACTGTGTTTCTATCACTATCTGCCTGGGTGACAGAACAAGACTCTTTAAAAAAAAAAAAGATTTTCAATACTCAAATTTTTTTTTTTTAGACAGAGTCTCACTCTATTGCCCAAGTTGGAGGGCAGTGGTGCAGTCTTGGCTCACTGCAACCTCCGCCTCCCTGGTTCAAGTGAGTCTCC